GGAGAAGGGCGAGGCGGACCTGCAGACATATGGGAAGATAAGGCAGCCCTAGCATGGATTCAGGGGGCAACAACAGAGGCAGGAGCGGTGACAGCTAGAGTAAGAGCGGAGGGGAGTTTTACCGCTGGTTCAAGGGGCAAGTGCAGCTGAGGACAGGAGAAGGATGGAAGCACGTGCCCGCACCAGAGGAGAGGGAAGGTATCATCAAAGAAGTACACGAGAAGCTGGGGCATTACGGGCCACTAAGAACGCAGCAGCTGGTACAAACCGGATGGTGGTGGGCAGGCCTGCGCAAGCAGGTTAAGGACTGGGTGTGGAAATGCGAGGCATGCGGACGGAACAGGGCGGTGCTGGAACGGGAGAAGGCAGAGCTACAACCGTTGCCGGTGGTGAGCTTGGGCTATAGGTGGTCGCTGGACATCGCGGGGGAGCTTCCACTCAGCACGAAGGGAAGACGTTACATACTGCTGATGGTGGAACACGTAAGCAAATGGGCGGAAGCCAAACCCTTAGTGCACAAAACGGCAGAGGCGGTGGCAGAAGCGTTTGAGGAGATGGTGGTTACGCGTCTGGGGGCATGCGGAGAGGTGCTGACGGACCAAGGCACAGAATTCAAAGGAGCGTTCGATGAGCTGCTCAGGGCAACGGGGATCAGGCATCGCTGCACGTCCCGTTATCATCCGCAGAGCGATGGGTTGACCGAGCGGCTGGTGCAGACGGTGAAAAGAGGGTTAAGGGCTTACGGTGAGGAGCATAAGCGGGATTGGGACAGAAGGCTCTGCTGGGTTATGGCTGGATACCGGTTTAGCAAGCAAGCAGCACTCAAGGACGTGTCGCCGTATTACCTGCTGTTTGGCAAGGAGCCAGTGATGCCCGTGGGGGCACCAAAGCTCCTCCTGGACGTGGTGACCACAGGATCGGCAGAAAAATGGGTCGCAGTAGCCGACGCGCGAGCAGCGTACCTACGGCGGCTGCTGCCCGCAGCCATGGAGAATCTGCACGTCGCTCAGCTGCGGGACATTGAGAGGTACAAGCAGCGGCAAGAGATAAAGGGCAGGAAGAAGGAAGCAGGGATGCAAGAAGGGGAGAAGGTGTACCTGAGGCGGCAGCGGCAGCACGCCCTGGATGTGGGGCTATCACAGCAACGGTGGGCAGTCAAGGAAGTCAAGCCGTCGGGGGTGATCATACTGGAGGATGGCAAGGGCAAGCAAGTGTCCGATCACGTGACCAATGTGGCGAGGATTCGCTCGGAGAAAGGCAAGGGAAGCCCCTCTGGTCCCATGACGCGTGCGAGGGCGGCGGCGATGCGTCACGGGAGGGGGCAGGAAGGGGCTGAGAAGGAAATGAACAAAGATAAGGGTAAGCAGAAAGTGGGGTAGCAGAACGATACAGAGAAAGGAGAAAAAGGGGGGGGGAGTCGTTGAAGACAAGGCAAGGGTGATGGGAGAGCGCCAAGGGACAATATGAGCAGAGATGGGACAGGTGGAACGAGGATGAGGGGAGGGATGTGTGGGCATGAACAAGGGTAGCAGGGTGGGCAATGAGCTAGCCGGGTGAGGGCAAGGAGGTTTCCGACAGCTGTCAGAGTTCTTGAGGGAAATCCTAAAAGAACGCTGACAGAAAGGGGAGGGGCTGTAATTGAGGCAAGGAGGAACAATGTGTACATTTGTATATAGTCGAGAAAGTGGATAACGGGGTGTAGAAGCAATAGCAGGAGGTGGAGGGCAGCTCGGCATTGGCAGGCAGTGGGTAAAGGTTGGGACGAACCTGTGGCTGGCTGGGAGAAGGGATGGCGAGCTTACGTGGCGGAAGGGGGTGAATGGGGTTTGAGGGGATGCATGTGTTTGTTTTTTTGATTGTGTGCAGACACCGAGTCCAGGGGGAGCTGGAAGTCACACCCGCCAGCTGGAGGAAGGCAGGATAACTGCAAGGGTGGCGAAGCTCGGCTGCTAGCACTCATCTGTTGGTAGCCATGCTTAGCTAGGCTAGGGTGGGTGCAATATTAGAGGTTCCTGGGCCATGGGACTGCTACTGCGTGATTGTTTTCGCAATTTACTGTGAATTCTTCTCAAGATAAGCAGTCTCTTAGCGAAGCCATATCCGCAGTCTGATGGATTAGGGGAAGGGCATTTAGTGGAAGGGGCTGAGAACGAAATGAACAAAGATAAGGGTAAGCAGAAAGTGGGGTAGCAGAACGATACAGAGAAAGGAGAAAAAGGGGGGGGGAGTCGTTGAAGACAAGGCAAGGGTGATGGGAGAGCGCCAAGGGACAATATGAGCAGAGATGGGACAGGTGGAACGAGGATGAGGGGAGGGATGTGTGGGCAGGAACAAGGGTAGCAGGGTGGGCAATGAGCTAGCCGGGTGAGGGCAAGGAGGTTTCCGACACAGTGCAAAACCCCCTTCTAGGGGGCTGGCAGAAGGCGCCGGCACTGGGGTTTGAGCCCGGAACCTCATCCTTCGGAAGTGCCCATTCTACTGACTGGGCCACTTCAGGACGGTCTTGCTTTATTGGGCTGGTTTGGGTTCGGTTGAGTTCGTTGGGTGTTGTTGGCTGGTTTCAGTCCTTGGGTTGGTTTGGTGTGGTTGGGCTAGGCTGACTTAGGGCTAGAATGGGTTAGGTTGGTTTGGGTTGGGTTGGGTTTGGTTCTGTTGGGCTGGGTGAGCTGGGTAAGGTTGGAGCGAATGGGGTTTGGCCATTTTGGTCGGGGCACAGAAGAAATGACGAATGAAGGGAGATTCGAGATAAAACAGGACTGCAAAAGGTCTAGTGCGGTACTAAACAATAAAGATTTGTGCAACGCGGTGATTATCTGGGTTGTTGCTTCCCTCGAATCCCTTGCGCTAACTCCCGTAAGTCGACTATGCCCCTACCTCTCATTTGCTTGCGCATTAGGAAGCAGTTACGATAGCTCTTTAGGGCGCGCTGCACTTCTATTTATTAATTCGAAAATTCTTTGGAGCGGATTTTGGGCGAACTTGCACGCGTTTCAGTGTTTTCGAACTTGAACATGCAAAAACACAGAATATTGGCACCCTTTGTCAGGTGCACCAAGACTTGGTTTTTTGGGGAACCCGAACTCCTAGCAACCGTGCGACCGAAATGAGGTCGTAGGTAAACTGTAGACGTCGCCTAGCCAATCACATCATTTCGTTTAGCATCGTAACTATTATGTTACTGTCGCTAGTGTTTCGTTTATTTCGCAACTGAAGTTCACCTTTTGGGGTGGTGCACTTCTCTGTCAAGTTCGAGCATTTGACGGGGAATTCTGCAGTATCGTTTGCCCGCGTTTCGGGCGCTATGGCGTTCAAGTTCGCATGCAAAACACGAGCGTGGTGCACTTCTGCAACAGTATCACTGTTCAGTCAAGACAAAATTCAGTTGAGTAAACGCTAAACGCACAGTAACCCGAACTTCACCAAAATTTCGGATTTGGATCGATCTTCTTCAGCATTTTCGAATTAAAAAATAGAAGTGCAGCGCGCCCTTAGGAACCATATAGCGATAGAGCGGTACAGCTGATTCGACGAGGAGCACGTTCCAACATATGTTACCAGATCCCTGCATTTTAGTCGAAGCTACTTGTTAGTTGACTCAGAAGATCCTAGCATATTCGATTTTATTACCTGCGGTCAGACCAGCACTAGCCGATATTAGTATCGCGGTTCACGATTCCTCCAACAGATCGTCACGCAACAACAGCTTGCTCAAAAGTCATGTTTTACAAGCGCATTCGTTACAGGGTAGAATGATGTAGCTCTGCGCCACGTGCCATGGACATCGTGGAATGAGTGGGAGGCGGTGAGGCCGAATCTGCTGGGCCCCGCCGCGACCCGCAGCGAATCCATCTCCCTTTTAGATCGACCAGGCAGTAGGTAATAGGTGTAGCTGTGTCCCCGTTGTAGTGCGATTCTGGATTCGCTTCCGTGTCTTGTGAGTGTACTGCTAGGAGTTATGCGGTGAGGGAGAGTCCATGGGTCGAGCAGCTTCGGTAGGTACACCGTAGCAGCCAAGCCATAGTTCTATCCCCTGATATGAAGCCATAGGTTATCTCCGAAGTGAATTCTGCTCGTACTGAGAGGAGCGAATTACGGTGAGTAAATTCCTAACTGTCCTGACCTCATTTCCTCTAATTTGCGTGATCATGCTTCTATGACCTGTGAAACTACAAACCCGAATTTGTTCCCCTCCATTCCGCCATTGGGTTTTGAACTGCCAGGTGACACCCCGTGTCCATGGACGTGTCAGCTGGCATGCTTGTCGTGCAGCTGCAGGACCTGAACCTCTGGTAGGTTTGGGGATGCAGGCTCGGAGATGCAGGTTTGGGGGCTGGGGAAGGGCTCGGTGTGAATGGGTTAGGCGTGTCGCAAAGGCTCATTTCACTGCTGAGTGGGATTCTTTACACTTTAGAACAAATGAGTTTGTTTCTATTATTTCTATATGTATGTTTTTTTCATTTATTCATTTATCTATATGTATATAGCGCAATAACGAACATTTTGTTTCATTTTTCGTGCTGGTTGTGCTGCTGCAAGATCCGAAGCTCTTGCATTTATGCTCGTAACTCAGGTTCGGATCGGAATGCGACAGGATCGGAGCTCTCCTTTCCCGTCTCCCCACCTCACCACCCCTGCCCACCCCCCGCCCCCTCTTCCCCCAACTCCCCCAATCTCTCCCTCCCTCTAACCCTCCCACTCACCCTCCCTCTCTCAAAAAACTTCTTATCAAACCACAACCCGTTCCCAGGCTAACACCCGCGTTAGGCTGAACGCACACAACAATTCACTCACGTTTGCCACGGTTAGTTGGCTGCGTGTCATGTGATTTCTGAGCGGTTCCGCGCAGCTCTGTGCGGTTTGTGCTTCGTCAGTCATACGCTGCTGTCACTTGTCCCTTTCTCGGTTTCCATCCTGATCCCTGCCCTGACATGTCACCCGTGTGTAGGTTCGTATTCTGGCGTGGTAGTGAGGGGCGATGAGGGGTCATGAGGGGTCTTGATATGTCTGATCCTTGTTCCGAGGGCTGTGCTGAGGAATCAGCAATGCTGGCAGCAGCAGGAGGCTTGCTGAAAAACTCTTTCCTAGAAAGAGGTGGAGCCTTCCACCTCTTGCTGATAATAGCCTTCCAAGAGATGGGTGGAGGGTTTGCAGCTAATTGGGTGCCCTGTGCTGTGGGGACCATGCCGTCCCGAGCTGCCAGCTCCGGAGTTCTCTTGAACCTGGAGGCACCGTTCGAGGCTGCAAGGAGGTTCGGTGCTGGCTCAGGCTGGGCGTTCGGTCCGGACGGAGATTCAGGCGGGCCAGATTTGAGCAAGAGACCGTGGGAGGAGGAGCAGACTGGAGTGAGTGCGGGCGGCTCGATTTGAAATGAGAGAGTTTGGCAGGAGTAGCAGACTGGTGAAAGGGGAAGGCAGTGGGGAGAAGAAATGGGTGGGGCGGCTGGGGAAGTCAGGGCGAGGGACTGAGACAGTGATGGGGGGATTAGTGGGATCGGAGGGGAAGGGGACTACCGTATGGGGGGATGGAAAGGCGGGGTGGGGGGTGAATGGGGTCCTCCTGAATTGATGCAAGCAAAGCGCAGCGGAGCGCACTGACAGAAGTCAAGTGCTGGCAATCTGGCGCACGTCTAGCCAACTTGGGCCACATTGAGACGAAAGTGGAGCAAGTCTTTCTGTTACTGGTCCACTTTCACGCCAGCCCATGAGTTGTGTGGATTGCAGAGCCTCGCGCGACTCGCACTGACTGTTGCCTAACGTCTCGCTGGACGAAGGATGAAGTGGGGCACCGCGGTGCGTTGTAAGATCATGCATGCACCTCGTTCAGCTGATAATGCTCGGCTGGCTCCCCCTCCCTCTCCAACGCTCCTTTCACTCGCTAGCACAGGGGAATTCTTTCCCCTGCTCTCTCTACCGTCTTGACAACATCCTCCTAGGGCCCTGTAGCCATAGATTGTAGGGACAATGATGACCCTGCTAGGTCGCGTCTTCCACTTACTGGTCTCGACTTTCTGAGAGGCGGTCCACCTACCGTCACGCCTGAAAGAGATCCGTCTGCGCAGCCCCCAGTTACCAACAACGAACCAACGGCAAGCACAGAGCCCTGGCCGGATTTTAATCAGCGGCAACAGCTGAGTGATCCGCCCGTGGAAGAGTCACCCACTAGAGCGACCGGGCGCGTCGCAACTCCCACGGTCAGTGCTGTCCGAAGCGCAGGTGTCTCCCGGTTCCCAAAGTTCGGGAAGTTCACTCAATCGACTATTCGGTTTGCTCGAACTCGCGTACCTCATGTGCGCCTCATGCAAGGAAGGTCGCCCTCTCCCGCAGCTGCTGCTACTCCGCTGACTCCAGCGACTGGCACGAGCAGGGTGCCTTCGGATCCAGGGCCGTCCAGGCCGTCTATTTTGGTTCCGGATCCTGCCGCGCTTCTCGAAGAACTGAAGAAGAAGTGCACCGACATCTGGCAACATCGTTTCCCCTGGCTGCTGATATCACAAAGGAAGGATGGTCGCCCGTGCATGAAGTGCAGTGTCTGCATCAGATACGGACCGCCACACTGGCAGTACGGCAAGGCGGGCGAGGGTGGCGTGGACATCCAGAAGCAGACCATGCGCAAGCATGGTCTGAGTCGCAAGCATTAGGACGCCCTCGATCGTAAAGCCCGAGCCGAAGGAGGTAAAGTTTCTCAACGAGGGATTGATGAGTATGAGGACGGGGTGGGGGAGATTGAGTGTTTGAAACAACTTCTATTAGTGGTGCTTTTCATATGCAAGTCGGATGCACCTATTGTGCTCTTTGTTTGCCTTGTGCACCTGCTACACGTTCTGAAGACCCCCAACATTCCCGACAAGGCCATCAGCACCTACCAGACAAAGTGAGTAATGCAACGTGATGTGATGTTTAGGTACTCATCATCATTGACTTATTGTCGTGCTTTTTGTTATGGCAGATATGGGTTTCGGGAGATGACCGAAGCCATGGTGCAGCACCTGAAGGCCCGTCAAATGCGATACATCCAAGAGTCGCCCTTTCTCGACGATTCAGCTCGACGAGTCGACTGATCGGAGGAATGGCAAGCATCTCATCGTCTACCTAACCTTCATGAAGGAGAAGGCGGTGACCGAGCTTTTCGGGCACCTAACCGTGGAGAAGGGCGACGCTTCATCTCTGCTCGCCGTCTTGCTGGCGCATCTGGACTGCAACGGGGTTGACATGCACAAGATCTCCGACATCAGCACGGATGGCGTGAACGTCATGCTGGGCAGTCAGAATGGGCTGGTGGTTCAGCTGAAGATGCGAGTTCCGCATCTTGTCGCGTGTCATTGCCTTGCTCACCAGTGAGGTATTTTGCACTTCAAATTTTGCAGTATTGTTGTCAGATACATCTCACACTACTCACTTGGTTTTTTCTTCTATCATCTAACAGAGAGGCTCTCGCAGCCAAGGATGCCGCGACGAACATCCCCGCCTTCAACATCGTCGATTGAGGGATCCACGCCGTCGCGACCCTCATTGGCGGAAGCTGCGTCGTCCACCAGAGGTTCCACGAGCTGCAAACCGTGATTCACGCCACGAACTTGGAGATGCAGGGGATTTTCGATGTTCGCTGGCTGTCGCGGGGCGATGCTGTTTCGAGACTTGACGCTGTTCTGCCGGCTGCCATAGTGCTGCTCCACGAGAAAGACAGCACGACGTATCACCTGGTTACGAGCCTCAAATTTCATTTCTTTTTTTTCTCGCTGATGTCCTGAAGGAATTGAACGAGCTCAACAAGCGGATTCAGCGACGATCGGTGTGTCAGAATCCCAACCACTAGACCATTGGGATAAAAGAGCTTGTTAAGTAGCGGGTCAGTGCGCCCATAACCCCCCAGGCCAACGTGCCTGTAACCCTTCCCTAGGATCAATCGGGGATCACCAGTGGACCTCTGACACCCCCCCGCACTGGGATGCCCGAAGTGCATACACCGGGATTCGAACCCGAGACCTTTGCTCTGATACCATGTCAGAATCCCAACCACTAGACCATTGGGATAAAAAGGCTTGTTAAGTAGCGGGTCAGTGCGCCCATAACCCCCCAGGCCAATGTGCCTGTAACCCTTCCCTAGGATCAATCGGGGATCACTAGTGGACCTCTGACACGGTGAGCGTGTAATTAACGGTCGCAGATTTTGAAAGTCGCTCTAGTCCCGAATGTCAGTGATTAACATTGTGTTTGTGCGTGATGTCGCAGGTGGACATCACCCGTGTCATGGGGCAGGTGCAAAACACCTGCGCGAAGTTGAACGCGCGCTATGTGGAGTACGGGGTGAACTTCGTGGAGGACAGCGAGCACCTCACTGCCTTCCTCGAAGCGCACTCCCATCCGTCCAAGCGGGTGGTCCAGGTGGAGGGGATGGATGGAGACGGCAACGCCGTCAATCACACCTTCAAGCTGCACGGGCTGGATGCGAAGAAGAAAGAGGATCCCACGGGTGACGTCGAGTCCTGCGTGTCCCTCGCCACCCTGTTTGCGAAGGAGGTGATCGGCAGGCTACAGTACCGCATGCGAAGCTTGAAGTCCCTCGTTGGGTCCAAGCTATTTCTGCCAGACGCCTATCCGGATGGCGTGAACAAGTGCGACCGTCTGTGCACAGAATGGTTCAGCTCCCTTCGCAAGATGTTCAACGCCGAGCAGTGCGCTCTGCCATGTACGTGTTTTCAAATTCCGCGTTGTCCCTAATCCCTTGTTTGTGTAACGATCCATCTACATAGTGGGATGCTAACTAGATGTGTTGTGTGTGCTTGCAGGAGTCAACTAGAAGAAGGCCGAGCGGGAGCTTCCACGTTTCACCCGCGTGATGGTGTCACAGTACAAGGACCAATCCTTCCACGTGGCACTTAAGAACATGCTCAGGAGCGGGGATTGGGAGTCTTCTTTCCCCAATCTGGTTCGACTTTGGGTGGCAATGGGTATTCTTCTGCTTAGCACTGTGGAGTGCGAGCGAGGGTTCAGTCGCCAAAACGTAATCAAGTCGTGGCTCAGGAACAACCTCTGCAATGCGCGACTCTCCGACCTCATGTGCATCTCCCTGCTTGACTACGAACCAGACTGGGACGACATGGTGAAGCTGTGGCGCGGGGCAAAGAAGAGGCGCACTGCCAAAGAAGTCAGTGGAGTGGCAACTGCAAAACGCAGGGAGGCAGAGACGGAAGCGGCAGGGAGGCAGGGAGACAGGGAGGATCTAGCACCTAACACGACAGCTCAGAAGGCGCCGTCCAATGACGACGGAGAAGCCAGGAGGAAGAAACCCAAAACTCACGTAGTAGATAGCGACAGTGAGGATGAAGGAGTGGATGTGCGTGCAACTGTTACACTGAGTGACAATGAGGCATCTGACCCAGATAGCTAGATAGTTATTCTTGATATGTTTTCTTTGTAGAGAATAGCTGTAGTAGTAGTTGTAGTTACAATAGGGACGGTTTACAAAATCTGATTTTTAAGCCAAGTAATGTTAGAAATTCTGATGCAAAAGACAGGGGCGTGAAAAAATTCTGACCAGTCAGACGGGCTCGAAGGGCCCGTCTGACGCCTCAGGGGGGTTCAGAGACTAGCGAGGGCCCTGGCCGCCTAGTACCTTAGCTGCTTTCTCTGCCCTTCATCAAGCAAAACCTCTGAATGCTGGTTGCAAGGTGGAAGTATGGAAGGTACCGTACGGTACCACATCAATTTGTCAAAAATTACAGAGACCACAAGAAAATGTTTGAAAGGTGACCTCCAAACTGACCTCCCTGGTGTCGAGTAAAAAAACAAATATCTAAAGCAGAGAGGAAAAAATGAGCAACGAGTGGTCAGATTAAGGCAATTGAGTGCTTAAAGGCTGCCCAATGGTACTCTGAAGCAGCAGCAGGGCCACCACTTGCCCCAGCACCTCCTCCTCCCATACCCGCTCTCTCCCCGCTGCTTCTGCTGCCAGCCACTTGTGCAGCTGTCGGCATTGCTGCGACTAATCCCCTTTCCCCTGCCATTGATGCTCCTGCTTCTCCCAACAATGCACCACTTGCAACCTCCTCCATCTGTGCTTTCGCACCCATTTCACCACCACCAGCAGCACCATCACCAGCACCCACCTCGCCACCAGCACCAGCACCACAATCAGCACCAGCACCAGCACCAGCACCAGCACCACCACTACCACTACCAAAAGAAGCACCCGATTCCATCTTTACTCTCTTCTCCTCTATTTCTCCATCGTCCCCTTCCCCTCTAGCCCCGCCAATCCCCCCAACACTATCCCTGTCCCTCGCCCCCTACCTTCCGCAACCGCCCCACCCATTTCTTCTCCCCATCCCCTCTCCCTTTCACCGTTCCTCCAGCCTCGAACGGGCGGCTCCAGGTTCGGAAGAACGCCAGAGCTGGCAGCTAGGGACGACATGGGGCACCCAGTTAGCAGCAACCCTCCACTTCTTTCTAGGAAGGTTCTTCTCAGCAAGATTCCCTCCTCATCCCAATTGCCCCATTCCCTCCACCTCCTCGCTGCCTCTCCCTCTCCTCCCCTTTTCTCAGCTTCCTGTTTCTGGTCTTCTCGTTCCCTGTTTCTTCTTTTGTCCTTTCTCCCAAATCTCCCTTCTTTCTATTCTTACCATCCCCTGTATTACTCGACCCAGTTAGTCCAGTCTCTTCCCACAACCGCAACCCCTCCTCTCGCCTTGTTACTCGCCCTCCCGAACCCTCCCTCGCGTTCACGTTGCCAACTGCAGCAGGGTAGCTGCAAGCAACTGATCCTCCTTTCCCCCCTTCTCCTCTCTCACTGCCCTCCCACCCTTTTCCACTCTCACTGCCCTTCCTTACTCACCTTCCTCACTCTCTCTCCTCCCCCACTCTCTTCCCTCCCTACTCTCCCTCCCTCAATTTCTAACTCCTCTCCTTCTCTCCAACCACCATCCGCATCCATCGCGCTCACCGGAACCACACCCAGTTACAACACCAGCCGCTGCAGCAACTTTCCCTTCCCTTTCTCTCCTCACTCCTGACCTCCCTCCTCCTTTCCCTTTCTTTCCATTTCTCCCTCGTGCTCTGACCCTCTCTCTCTTCCCAAACACCATTCGCATCCATTGCGCTCACCTGAGTCACAGACAGCCAGCCAGAGCACTGGCGGCCGGAGATGAAAAGGGGGACGGGTAACAGGGAAGGGTCATGGGGAAGGGGATGGGGGAGGGGGCGGGAGAAGAGGGAGTAAGGGGAGGGGGGAAGTATGAATGGAATGGGGAGTTTCAACACTGGCTGCTGCAGCAGGCGATCGTGGGGCAGGGCTGGAGACAGGATGGAGTGAGGACGGGGAGGGGACGGAAGGATGTGCTCCCAATACCCCCAGCCCATTACCCCCGAGCCATCAACCACCACCGCATCTAAAAGCGGTTACACTAGCACCCCACCATGCCACTCAAAAACGCATTCGAGCCTCGCTTACAATGCCGCACGTCCACCAGCATTCGTGGGATGCCCACGCGTGCCGTGCCGCCACCCTCCCCACAGATCCGACCAAGAGCGCGTTGCTGTGTGTGTTACACTGTGACAGAGTGTTTCGCTGCACTTCCCTCGAGCTTTACTTGCAGTTCCAGACATGCACCAGCACTCGCGGAATGCCCATGCTTCCATTCTCGCCACCGACCGAACCAGTGCCGGATTGCGGTTGTCACACAGACCACTCACGAACCTACACGTGGCAGGGCATGGACGAAGGGCGAGAAGGAAACAAAACAGGCCTACTAACTCAATCGACGAAGGAGCATACATATCATGACCCTTCATCACCCCTCATTACCACTCCAGGATACGAACCTACACATGGCAGCGCAGGGATCAGGATAAATCCGAAACCGAGAAAGGAACAAGAGACGGCAGAGCATAACTGGCGGAGCACAATCCGCACTGAACCGCACAGAACCGCTCAGAAATCACATGACACGCAGCCAACAAACCTTGGCGAACATCGATGGAATGTTGTGTGCGTTCAGGCTGATTGAGGCACGAAACATTGTGCGCTCAGGCTGATTGAGGCATGAAACATTGGGTGCTCAGGCTGATTGAGGCACGAAACATTGGACGCTCAGGCTGATTGAGGCACGAAACATTGTGCGCTCAGACTGATTGAGGCACGAAACATTGTGCGCTCAGGATGATTGAGGCATGGTGTTAGGCTGGGATCGGGATTTGGGTTGTGGTTTGATAAGAAGTTTATTTAAAACAAAGTGAAGAGAGGAATGACTTACCTCATGATCATTCACCGCACAGAACCTTTCTCAACCATGTGAGTAGAACTAACCGAGCTCATGATGACGGCCGCATATGACTGGCGGAGCACGCATGGGGGAGAGGAGACACCGTGTGGGGCGGCCTGGGGGAGGGTGAGAGGGATGGAAAGACTGGGGGAGTAAGGGGAAGGGGAGGCGGGGGGTGGGGAGGGGTGGTAAGGTGGGGAAGGGGAAAGGGTTGTACGCATGGATTGCTGTATGGAGGAGAGTGACTGGCAGGGCACAAATGGGGGGAGCTGAGCAACGGCGTGGGGCTGCCTGGAGGTGGGGGGTTGGGTAGAAGAAGGGTGGAATTGAGGGAGGGGAAACGGGAAAGGAGAACTCAGATCCTGCCTGACGCATTCCGAACCGAACCTACATTGCCAAGCCTGAGTTACGAGCCTGCATGCAAGAGCCTCGGATCCTGCAGCAGCACAGCCAGCACATAAAGTGAAATTATCCCAAGGACGTGCCCCAAATTTTCGTTTTTGCGCAAGAAACATTACCATAAATTACCCAATGAAACGAGTCTTTGGGACACGCCTAAATCATCCACATTTAACCCTTCCCCAGCATCGCCAAACCTGCACCCCGAACCTACCAGAGGTCCAAATCCTGCAGCTGCACGGCAAGCATGCCAGCTGTCACGTCCACAGAGGCCGAAACCCGTCCCCTGACCTGCCATGCTGGCACCTGTCGGTTCAAAAACCAAGGGTGGAATGGTGGGGAACGGATTAGGGTTTGCGGTTTCACATCGTACAGAAATATGAATTTGTGAGCATGAGGAAATGAGGATATGACGGTTCGAGATTCACTCACCGTACTTGTAACACCTCGCTACCCACTGGGTCAAAACGAGGGTTGTATTTGAGGCGCAGCGGATGCTCTCATACCCTTACGTGTAAGCCCCACAGGCGTTACACTCGTCCCCCCCTGGAGCCAACGTCCTCGTTGGGCAGGGAGTCGGCCCTCGCAAGGACCTGAATCTCGCTCTACAGCGACTTCGCTGGTGGACCAGGCCAGCGGCGGATCGTTCACTGGGTTCGCGATTGGCACATTCAAATGTGACCCAGCCAGGAATCGAACCCCAGGCTCTGAGACCAAATGTAACACCTCGCTACCCACTGGGTCAAAACGAGGGTTGTATTTGAGGCGCAGCGGATGCTCTCATACCCTTACGTCTAAGCCCCACAGGCGTTACAGAACTTCACCCCTCCCATGATGACCGAGATTCATTTCTCTGGGATAGCAGGACACTCACCAGGCACAGTAGCGAATCACGATTTGAACTACAGCAGGAATACGCTAGACTACACTTATTACCTACCCGCCGGTCGATCCCGGAAGGAGTAGGATTCGCGGATCGCGGCGGGTCTCAGCAGGCTCGACCTCACCGCCTCCCTCCTCCCAGAACGCCTAATCGTGCGCAGCCTTTGAAATGCTGTGCTA